CTGTGCTGAGAGAAGGCTAAAGAGCAAGCCGGCAGCACATAATCCAGGAGACATACAAAAAGCTACCAAGAAGGACTCCAAAGCTCTCCAAATCATACTTTCTTTCCAGCTTCAGATTAACTGAATACATTTCCTCAGCATTTCCTCACATTTAAAGGAAAGGCTGCTGGAGGAGTTTTAAAATATGTTCCCTGTATTCTGCAGCTTTGATCTGCCTAGAGAAGAGGCCTGGAATACCTTTGCAGCCACGCCCCAAGGCAGCCAATGGTACAGAAGTATTGCCATGCACCCCACATTAGATCTGATACACATTGTGTCAGTTATGGCATTGTCCTTTCAAGCCAGCTGTATTTTCACCCAACAAAGAGCCATTCCTGCTTGAGGGAGCCCCCTACACTGTGACACTGGTTGGTACAGGACAGTCATTGCATACAGCAATCCTCATCCATTCAACTTGCCACTTACTCAGAAAAGGCAGTCAGTCTGGTCAAGTACATGATTTGCTTTTGATAAATTTCTTCCTGGTCCCTTCAGTGCCTGGCAAAGATGATGATGATGTACTTAAGCTTTTTCTATATTGTCTGCCATTACATTCTCATCCCAGTCAGTTTTGCCCTCCATCAAATTTTACCTTCATTTTTCAAATGAGCACACCTGCAGAATTACTTTCTGTTATTCTTTATGACCATTGTAAAACTTAGCTCAAACTCATCAGCTTTCTGATTTCATCACTATGCAGGCAAGGAAAGCTTGTCTATATCCCAGAAGCTCTTTGCTTAGCCTAGGAAGCCTTATGCTGAATTCTTTGTCTTCCTGCCAAACAGGATGATTTCTTCCTTAGTTCCTAGTAAGTTTTATTTAGAAATCATCAATTTTTCATGGGCTGTATATCTCTGTGGCTGGATCCCAAGCAATATTGCTTAGCAGTTTTCCAAAAAGATGAAGAAGACAGTTCTTCTGAAGACTCCAGTCATAACTTGCTGGCTGCCTTTTCAGACTTCCTTTGAATCATGAAATCAACCAACTTATGATCCCAGCTACTATTACATTTTAGACCAATTCTCCCCTCTTCATGAGAAGCAAGTCAAGCAGAGAATTATGCTTCTTTATTCCACCAAGGATCATTAGGAAATTGTCAGCAAACACAATCAAGGAATGTCCCAAACTGCCTGCACAACACTTCAGTCTTACCAGAAACTATTATATTTTTGTACTACACAGGTAAATACCACATTCTATTAACCTGAAATGTTGCTATTTTATTTCAAGTTCAAAATGCAACAATTTAAAAAAAAAAACCAACAGTGGAAAGCAATGCTTCCATTCCCCAGTGAATTTAAAATGAATTCAACAACAAAAAAAAAGTAGAAGAAAATTATGCCCTTCACAGACAGCATTCTGGGCTAATCCATACACAACTTACAAAAGCCCAGTAATTTAAAAATGACATTCAGTTTCATTAAAACTTATGGCTGAAGATGATTTGGTACTTTTCTGTGCTTTGCGCTCGCATTAAATAATTCAATTAAAACCAATTAAGTAAAGGATATACTGCATTTTTTTCTGATGCAAATTATTAGGCCAAAAGGATACAATTTTTATCACCAGAAACACATAGTTTTTTGGAAAAAAAAAAAAAAAAAAAAAAATAACCAAAAAAAAACCAAAACATGAATAAAATGCATTAAAAAAAAAAAAAAATCCAACGAAAAGGAAAAGCAAAAGAAAGTGGACAAATTATGGTAAATGTTCAACTATTTCATCTTTACCAATAGATTAATTACAGCAAGTAACTTTAGTGAAAGCTTGTCATCAGCTTTATCATACGTACAATGAGATTGCAAATGTCTCTTATATTGAAATTACTGTTCCAAATATTTTTAGCTGGCACAAATGAAAATCTGCCAGAAGTGTTGCCATACTATGATTGCATGGGTAATAAATTTCCTTATGTGATCACCATGTAAATTACTCCTGAGAACCTATTATAGTAAGAACCAGGTAGTTTCAATAGATAGCACTGCAGTAGTTGGCAATCATCTTAATTATAAAAAATTATGTGAAGAAACCTAATTATAAATGTTGCAATCAAGGGATCTATAGGGTTTAGTAGAATTATCAATATGATAATTAACTTCCCAAAAGATTTTAAGTCTTTTTTAAAATGGTCAGCAACAAAGACTTTCGAAATATCTTCCCATTTTAAAGGCACATTCGTCAGCAAATCCCAAGGTATTGCATAGGGAGAGTGCAATCTCTACTCCCTGTTTATAGCTATGAAGATTGCAATGAGTATTAAGTGGCATTTTCAATAGTTAAACACTTGAATTGATATGCAATAATCAGCTACACAGACATTATTTAAAAAATAATTGCCTCAGCCTCATTCAAGGCTCATTCTGAAGGTCACAGTTTCTTGGTCATAGAAGTTAGAGAAGAAACCTGGTCTCCTGGCTCTTGTTCAGGTATCTTTCAGTGCATCTGATTTGTGTTCAGTGAGGAAATCTAGCAGCAAGAAGTGACATTTTTCTTAAAATATATCACAGTATTCATTTTGTCTTTGTGCTTTTGTATCCTGAGCATCGGTGTAGCACATAAACTATTCTCACTTATACATTTAAGTTCATTATAGTCTCTTCTGTAGCTGAAATAAGATCTTGCTTAGAACTATGAGATCTGTATTTGATTTGCTCTGTTGCATTTTAGTGTCTGCTCGTATTATTTGATGTCTTTATTTCTGCCAGTGTCACCTGCCTGCCACGGAATTGACACATGTGCAGCCAGCCTCTCCTGTCTGGAATTCTAGACAGGAAGAATACTGGAGAGGAATATTCATAATATATCCTGTTTTGCTAAGCATCGGTTTTTTTTTCCCCCAAAAACCCACAGAATGAAGGTGGCTGGCGTGAATACCTCAGTGAAAATTGTTTTACTGTCAGGGCTTAAAACAAAAAAGTTAACTTGTATAATAAAAAAATAAATGGAATAGGAAGACATCTGTCTTCCAAAGCAGACCAAAAAGGCACACTAATTAATTTCAATATATATCTTACATGCTTGTTAGAGAAGGTCTGCTCTCTGCTGGATGCCTGTCTAACTAATGGACTGTCATTGTCTTTTCTTATACTGTATCTCCTTCTTCCTTTCTCCCTTTTCTTTTTCTTTTTAGTAGAAACAATTAAAAAGTTAAAATCAGCTACAAGGAACAGAAACAAAGGACTTTTAATGATAATTATCCATCACCTTACAGTTTTTGTAGCTGTTTAAATGATCCTTTCATTTTGAGGACAGCTTTTCTCTTTTCTTCAGATTTACTTCCTCTATTGTCTGTGATTTTTTGCTTTTGTTTTTTAAACCCTTATCTTCTTTCAAGATTGCATTTTTTTTTGCTGCTTTTAAACTTAATGAACAGTCAATCTTAGTGGCACTGATGTCTCATTACAGAAGTAAGCCTTCATCATTGTAACCCAGATACTATATTAGTATTCCCAGATATAGACATTTTAGGAATTATGAGGTCAATACTCAGGCAAAGCCTTGATTGACAATTTAATGAAACCAAAGTTTTAAGTCTTAAGTGAAAAATGTAACTTCTTGGAATACTTTGGAGAAAAATCATTCTAACAGAAAGTCTCACATTTCTTGAATAAATTGAATAAAAGCAATATTGTTTTTGCATCCTCAATCAAAACGAAGCAGAAGTTCTTTTACCCAACAGGGAAGCAAGGTGTGGTTTCCATAAATTTATGACCTGATTAAAAACTCCATCATGATTAACTCTGAATCTGTCTGATCCAACAAGCTAAGCAGCTTGAGATCTTAATCGTATGCAATAAGAAATAAGGAAGGCAAATTAGCAAATTATGAAGCGAATGCATAAGAGGCTAAGATTCCTTGGTCTACACAGTAGACCAGATTACATAACCAGAAACACCCTGCCTTTTAGCTTTAAACACAATAAATTTCTAAATACTGAAGTGCAGAAAAAAAATTAAATTTGCCATTTCCTTTGGTACTTGACATTATGATGAAGGCTTATTTCACAAACCTAACAATGTTGTCTTCTAAGTGAATGGTAGTGCTCATTAAAAAAAAAAAACAAGAGGTCTTATTAGTGACACAACACAAGACTCAAAAGAACTCTTCCAACGTTTTCCTCTGTGTCTTTTCTAGCTGGAAATCAAGTAAATATATAAAATTCCGCTAACTTGTTAAAAAAAAAAGAAAAGAAAGAAAGAAAAGAAGGATTAGGAGCAATTTCCAATGGTCATTTTGCTGATAATCAAAGAATTCCTTTCATAACATAATCAAGTGCCACACCATAGAGTTTCCTTTTAACCTCCTTTCCTTTTAACTTCCACAGAAAGTTGTTTCATAATGTGATTTTCTATTGTTTAGGAGGAGACTTTTTTTTGGTTTCACACCTTAATTTATTCACAGCTATTTACAGACAAAAAATTGTTTACTTTTTCTTTCTTTCGTCATACTGTTTACTCTCCATGGTATTTGTCTTTCAGAGTGTGCAGAGCAACTACAGACTATTTCAGCTTGCTTTCAGAGAACTAAACAAGCGGGCTGTTCAGAGAGTACTCTCACAGACAGGTACAAACACATGTACCATCACTCCACCCACACCTGCAGTGAGCTAGATGAGTCACCAATCCCGAGATCTCCCAGCTGCACCAGTAAGGAACTATCACAGTTAATTCTTAAGAACCAGAGTGCTCTTCTCAGTGCTAACACTGCTCTAATGTTGCCGTGTTGTTTAGGAACTAGAGCAGGACTGCACCAAGGAAACATGAACTTCAGGTCATGCATTTATGAGATCTTCCCCTTAGTTTCTCTGTAACTGTAGCAGTTTTAATTCATCTACCCTTGAACATGGGTGAAAACAGCTACATCTTATATGCCATGGGAGATGCACTGAGTTTATAATCATGGTTTACCTATATTCATTATAATTGCCATGAAAGCAAACAAAAAAAAGAAAAGCATCTGACCTGGTGTAGTCATCCTCCACAAGCATGTGCTTTGGAATGGGTGAGTATCTTCCAGGTGAGATAGGGGCCAGAGACGCCTTGTACTCTAAAGTGCCGTTGTTTCCAGAAGAGAGTATATGATTTTCCATTGGTGGAGAATAAGCTGTTGTAAGAATAAGCATTTCTAGTTAGCCACTGTTGATAATAGCAAGTAATAATAACAATAATGTGGCTCATTTTGCAGGAATTGATTCTCCAGAGGGTTCTGAATAAGAAAGAATAGATTGTGAGACTGCAAACAAATAATTTCTTTGATCAGAACAGACTGGAAGAAGGAAATGTATTTTCATTCAGAACAAGATTAAGAACACACATCATTTTGGCTCCCATACATAGAAGTGGGAATAAAACACTAAGAATAAAATGCAGGATGAGATTAGGAATTTTATGGTTGACAAGAATTATTTATGGTGGAGATTTAAATTTGTGATTTACTAAAGGTTCAGCATTTCCTAATATAATTGAAATTTCAATACCAATACAGATGATATTATTTACAATATGGTAAATTTGTATATAAAATAGAAATATGATACAAATCACATACAAATTAATGAAAAATTTTGATAATTACATGATTGTGTATGGCTCTATCTTGCATATTTGGATTTTGTTATTTGCTTGCTTTTTGCAGTTCTCAAGTTACTAGCAACAGCTGTAATCAAATATATAGTTAATATAATTAGAAAAGGAGATGACAAGTAGGAAAAACAAAGATGAGCTACAACTAATCTCATTAAAAGAAGTCCTTCTAGTCTTTAAGTCTTTCTTTCAGACATTCAGTTACAGAATGCTTCAAAGCAAAATATCTGTACAGGGACAGGCCATTACTGATTCTGAAATACTCTGAACACGTGGATATAATGAAAAGTTCCCCATGGATAAATGAATCTCTATGCACCAACAGCCTGGGATGGGCTACTGCAAATCTTTTCAACCTTTGCTCCCTCTCTGGAACTGTGTCTGTCTTCTCATACTCTGCTGATCTATAATCTGACATAATAAACACACCCTTTTAGAACACCCAAATTATTATTTTAGGAAGTATTATAGAGCAGGAGGTTGGATGGAGACATTTAGTTGTTTTACTTGTCGTGCTTTGTTAAGATCCAGACCAAACTACTACTGAACAACCATAATTGCCATCTGTTGTAACATTTGCTAAGTAAATAGTTATCCTCAGCACAGTTGAATATACCACCTGATGTGCACGTTACAAAACCTTCCCTGTTATTTTTATGGAGCAGTTTGAATAAGGAGGATTACGGATATTATCTTTCCCCTTGACTACTTCATTTCATAGTAGCAATGCTCTGCAAATGAGCGGAGAAAGTTAATATCTGGCTTTTATTGAGAAAATCTACCTTTCCCAGCTGCTGGCTTCCTGGCCACAAGTGCTCCTAGTGTTATTGGCAGAAGCTCAAAACTTGTACAGATCAGTTGCTAAAGCTCTTTTCAAAAATTAAACTACCACACAGTTGTTAGGAGGAGCAGCTAGTCCCTGCTGGTTGGTAGTAGAATCCAAGGCAATCAGTTTTTAGTGAACAATTAAATGAAGGAAGGGAGATTCAGTAACAATATGGATAGACTGACACTGTAAGTATAGGGAGCTGCAACTGGAACATTAAGATTATATTCATGAATGAGAAGGGAATGTGAATGTCTCAGTGTGGGAACATCAAGAAGACTGCCAGAAGGAGGCCTAAAAGAACTGAACCTAAATTCAGCAATAGGTTATCAAAACCCAAAATAACTAGGGGCAACTTCCCAGGAGAGCCTACAACCAATCTAAAGGAAAAATTTGAATTATTAAGAGATAATAGCAAGAGATAAAGATCAGATAGGAGTATTGCACACTTGGACTGGAAGACATAGGAAAAGTGAGTAAATCCAGAGACTGAAGATTCTAATCACTGTTATCTGCTTACAGCTACAAAAAACATATTGTCTAGGAGGTATGCCTTAAGAGGGTGCGTACTGATAGGGATTCACAGAAGCCCACCCTTGCACTTGGTCATCTCAGGGAATCCTGACAAGCTCACATTTCTTTCTACTGGACACCACATGCCAGTGTAGATGATTTTCAGTGCATAGATATCACATGTAGAGTAAAAACAGGTTGTTTTAAAATAGAATAGTCTATATCTCCAATAAAATCCTTCACTGGGCTTTACTAATAACTAAACGACTAAGAGAACTTCATACAACTGAAAACATTTAATGCAGTGACAAAGTCTTCTGTAAAGGAGCATTTGTTGAACATATATAAAGTTAATGGACAGACTGACAATGATGCAAAGTGGAACAGGAAGCTAGGAAGTGGATATACATGGAAAAAAAGGCAGATTTATGCAGATAGAGAAGTGATTTTTCATTCTGAAATGAAAAATGCCTAAATATGCCTTTCATGCCTAAATATTTCAGGCAAATATCTATTCATTTTTCTCAAGCTTTGCACTAAGTTTGTTTGGATATTTTGCTGTTTATACTGATTTTTCATTGGACAGAGGATGCCTGTCTACAAATCCAATCACATTTCGAAATACACTTACATGTATTTTTTACTGTAATTGTCACAAGAGTAACAGACTAATCTGATCCCTTGGACAATGGCTTATTTGAGTCCGCACAGCAATACATTATGTACGCTTCTACTTTTGCTGCAAATATACTTCAGTTGAGCTGCAGTATTTACAGTATTTCGTAAGCATAGCATACATAAGTAGCAGTAAACGTTTCATTTTTTGTAGTCCTCCAAGCTGTTTCATAACCTTTAATAGGATACATTAAACAAGCTATGAAAAAACCACAATCACCTGATGAACTGATCTCTTACAGAAAATGAAATGCAACAGTCACTTACAGTGAGTAATGTCTGGTGGGCCATAAGGATCGGTCATGTAAATGGTGGTGGGCTTTCCAACTTTTAGATACACTACATCTGATGTGTTCTTCAGTATCGCTACTGCCTCTTCATGGGTAACTTCTTCTAAACTATAATTGTTTACCTTAAAGGAGAAATCAGACAGGTGAGTTAGGACGCGGCAATGGACAAAATAATGACACTCTCTTGCAGTTTTCCCAGTGTTAGAAAAACTCAAGGAGCACTGAAGATTATCGTAATAGTATTACAGCAGAATAGAAAATAAAGTTTTCTTAGCACATGCATATTCAAATACTGATGAAGTCTTTTTGAGAGTACCACAGAAACATAATGGGCTTAGATGGTCTTGTTAGGAGTTAAGTCCTTTGTGATTCTGCTGCCAGTATCATCATTAGCACAAAACTATATTTTGAAATATTCTAATAACATCACATCATTTATACAAACTGCCTATATTATTTGACCTACCAAGCTCATCTGTCCAAAACTATCACACAGAATACATAGCTAGGACCTCTAATATACTTAAGACCTCAAAATCTTTTCATCCATAACATTGGCAATTGAAATAATATGAGAGAAAGTAATATAAAAGAAGGAGGGGATTTCTATGAGGCGCAGGAAATGAAAAAAAAAAAAAAAAAAGAAGAAAGCAGTTAATCAGTTTTCTGGAAACACAGGAGAAAGATGCTGAAAAAAAAAGAGGATGAAGTACTGGTTCTGTGCTCTGTCCAAGAAGAATAATGCTCAATGATAAAAGGACAGGATTACAGATTAGAGAGGGATGGAGGCAGTAAGTCTTGACTATTTATGCTTTACTGCCAGAAAAAGGAAATTCAAAGCAAAGTGTCAGAAGCGGTTTACTGTAGAATGGTATACAAATTATTCACATGTAAACCCACTACATCTACTCATGTCAACAATAGGTGTGCTCCTATGAACAGAATATTAAATGATCCCTGTACCAAAAAAGTATACAACCTGAATAAAGTAGTCACAGGACAGAGGAAAGAGGTAAAGAATAATGTAGATACAGCTTTCAGATGTCTGGTGTAAGGCAGAAGAAAAGGCTACATTCCAAGGTGAATATTAAACATGAAACATTTGACGGTGATTTAAAGCACCATCCTTCAACTTTTACAGTTATTACAAGGATTCCTTGTAAACTTTATGCATGATGGCAGAAGAAGCTCCTCAACTACAGTGTGACAAAGTACAGCACTAAATCACATAAGGCAATATACTTTCTAGGGAATTTATTTTCAGTAAATTATAGGAAACTTGGCTGTTACACCAAGGTACTGGCCAAGGTATTAACTGGTAATTGGTAACTGGAAAGAAATCCAGTTTTTATGAAGCATTGGAGGACTGTTCATATTCAGATGATATCAACAGCAATAGAAAACGACTGCTCTCAGATATTATTGCTAAATGCAAGGATTCTGTTTAAATTTTGATCCTTGCATAATTCTGAGACTTGCTTTTAAGGTTGATTGAAACAGGCAGTGACAGGCTTATTATAACAACTTGACATGAAGAGCAATGATACAATCTAATGCTCACAAGAGAGCTCCTGACACTGTATGCTGTATTTTGGCAGGTCTTCTTTTCAAATAGAAGTATGATCCCTACCTTATATAAATTTATCTTTTTTTTTTTTTAATTTCAGAAACAGTATTAACATACATATGCACTTTTAATAAATATATTTTAAATACTAGACTAGTAGGAAGCAGAAGTGACTGAAAAATAGCCTCTCTTACTGCTGTATTTCAAAACCATCTCTAATATTGAAAATTCACACTTCTGTTAATACCATTATATAGTTATTCTTTACCATCCCTCCTTCCCTCACTGTCTGTATTTTACTACTGAATCACAGACAGAATGAGTTTGGAAGGGACTTCTATGTCCATCTGGTCCAGTCCCTGTGCTTGCAGGGACACTCCAAGCAGGGTGCCCAGCACCACGTCCAGGTGGCTTTGGAAGATCTCCAAGAAGGAGACTCTATAAAGCCTCTGAGCAACCTGTTGGGTTTCATCCTAAATCGACTACCACTATACTTCTGTTTAAATAAACGATGTTCTTAGAGAAAACAAAACAAAACTATACTAAACTAATAGAACCCTACATAAAATGTCATAGCACTGCGTAAAAAAAGAAATCTGGAAAGCAGTTTCTGCAAACAGGAGGAATGATATAAGGAGGCATGTTGATATAACAGGAAAATAACAAGAGAAATAAATAATACAGGATAAAGGAAATTAAAATACTTAGAAGTTCAATCAAAGAAGTGATGGGAGAAATAAGTACAAAATGTTGCCAAAGAGAAATAAAGACTGGTTTGGTTTTTTTTCCTTTTTTCTATTTTTCTTTTTCTCTCCTGAATGGCATAATGAAGGCAATGAAGTGTAAACACAAGCAACAATTATTTGGAAGTTTTCCTAGATTAATATTGGAAAATAAAGGCATTAAGCAGCAGCTGAAGGGAAAAGCTTAAAATTCCCCAAAAGGCTGTACAGACAATTTAAAAAATAATTTCATTCACAAGAGCATAAGCTGATAGCTGAATAAGATCTCTGGAGGAATAAGTATGTCTTAATTCATTTTCTTTAAAGGGAAACTGTTCCACTCCTGTATGTATTCAGAATAAGAAGACTGATTCACTCAACGAATGAGACAATGAGGTGATCTTCAACTTGTCAGTGGTAATGTTTGCTTTAGTGTAATATTCCACTTTGGGTTCAGAAAGTGGGTTTTCTGGAGCAAATCCTGAGTGACAAATGTGCGCAAGAACTTCTTTACGGTGAGGGTGACGGAGCACTGGAACAGGCTACCCAGGGAGGTGGTGGAGTCTCCTTCTCTGGAGATGTTCAAGACCTGCCTGGATGCCTACCTGTGCGACCTGCTGTAGGGAACCTGCTTTGGCAGGGGGGTTGGACTCGATGATCTCTGGAGGTCCCTTCCAACCCCTACAATTCTGTGATTCTGTGAATGCTGGCCAGCAAATACAGCTTGGCAGCTGTAAATCTAGAAATACTGATGACCTTTTTTTAAAACTCACCATGATTTAAACACCTGTGAAAACAATGGTTTTTCAATCACAGAATCATTGAATTATGGGGGTTCGAATGGACTGCAAGAGACTGTCAAGATCAATCCCTCTTTTAGTAGTAGAAAGCAGGTACTCTACAATAGGTCACACAAACTGGTTCAGCCAAGTCTTGAATACCTCCATAGAGACCTCACAACCAGTTGGTTTTTGCTGCTTTTTGGAGCAACGCTGGAAGGTCACTGGAGCAGCACTGGCTATTCTCCAGTCTTCAGGCACGTCACCCATCCACCAAAAGTGGTTAGGTAATCACCTCTGCCAGATCCCCCAGCACATGTTGAGGGCACCAAAGCTGAAGCTCAATCATCTGTTCTAAGGAGGTAAATCTGCTTGGGTTAATTAACTATGTATAACTCCAAGGACTCCTAAAATAGTTACTTAACTGCTGGAATCTGAACAGAAAGCAACTGGCATGCACAGCTGTCACAACACAAAATGAAGAGCATCTTGATCGTCTTTGTGAATCAGGGGATTACAACTAGGCAGTGATGTATGGAGCGGAATGTAGGCTTCAATGCGTTGGAAATGATGGTGGCAATGTTGGAATATCACAGAGTTTGCACCGGGTGGATGCTGACTAAGCTGAAGGCTCAAAATTCCGGTCGGGACAGAGAAGAAGACAACTTTTCTCTTGCAACGTTAACACCAGGGCCCCATTCCACTTAAAAGGCTATGGAGCAAACTGTGGCTGAACTGTCCTACCATGCCCACTACATAGTCTAGACTTGGCACCTTCTGACTTCCATCTGTTCTTGCTGATGAAAGATGGACTATGTGGGCAACGTTTTCCTGCAATGATGCCGTCATAACAGCTGTGAAACAGTGAGTCAGCTTTGCTGGTGAAGATTTTTATGACTGCGGCCTGCAGGCTCTTGTTTATTGCTGACAAAAACACACTGCTAATGGTGGTTTTGTAGCTGAAAAATTGCTCTACCAAATAATGTTATTGTTGTTTTTGTATCTCTGGTAGTTTACATGGAAATAATTAGGAGGCATTCCTTTCAGAGTAACCTACATATATTGAGTCATCATTTGTCAATCACTCTTACACTGATTTTATTAAAAAAAATGCTTTGTATGCAATGAAATGGTGTGAGGATGACTTAGATGTGTAGGAATGATCACACAGTGAGTATTCTGGGGAGGAATTAACTCGGGAGCTTATAGCTATGGTTCCATCCTAAAACTGATTATAGCAAATCTACCTTTGAATGCTAGATAAAGTATTGTGAGTCTAATATCAACATCAGTGTAAAGTTAGTTCAGAGCCCACTGTTGCATCAGAATGGATACAGCCACTGAATCCTCTGAGCTGGTTCAGTACTAATCATTCTCCATCTCATACAATTACATTTATTCTGATGTGCTTCCTTTCTCCTAGCCAGCAAGTACAACCAACAGACCAGGTACTGTCTTTTCACACTGCTCTACCTTAGTTTTAACTGGGTAACGTCTGTACTTCATCAGTCTTCCTGAATGAAAAATGTGTGCACCAGGACTGATCTGCAATAACAGAGGGTGTGGATAAAGTGGCATCTACTCTGCATGTGTTTTAAGGATTTATTTTGGGTTATATGTAGTTGGGCTCTACAGACTGAATGCCTGTTAGCAGCTGTAAAGCAGTGCTAATTGGGAATGCTTTTACTGGATTTTTACATTCTCTGGTGTAGTTTCTTTTTAAAAAAATCACATTTGTCTCCTCAAAGATCACCCTCACAAGACAGTGAAAATCACTTAAAAAATCTTTTCTGTTCTGAAACAAATGCTAATGTAGATGCACCTAAAATTTAAATGATATACTCTGACTACTTTAACACAAATGATTCTGCAGCTATGTGTGATCTGACAGAAACTGGTATGGAATCCTGCAAGGCACAGTTTGACAGCTGTAAATAGCAACCCACCACAGCCTTGAGAAACCACCCAATGGTATTTTTTTCAGCACAGAATGGGCTTGGAAGCAAACATGAACATCTGGAAAAAGAAAGCTTTTTTTTTTTTTTCTTTATGGTTTTAGGAAGAAAACAGAATCAAATTAAATCTCATGGTGTGTGAGTAACATCATTTCTTATAAATGTACACATCCCTAGAATGCCTGATTTCTTTGACTGCACATGCTAAAAGGCAACAGGCTAACAGATATGGCCCAAACAGTCCAGGTTTTGGGGAGCAGTAGATTTGAAGAGTTAACAGAATACTTACAAGACAGCAGTAGCATAAATTCTGTTGTTTTAGAGTTTTCCCTGAAAAATACTTTGCTTCTAACTATCAGTGTTTTGTATTAGTAATAAACAGTTTTATAGTGACTTCTCATTTATCCATTCTGCAGGCAAGCAATTCCAAGGTGAGATGATAACATCAGATAAAAGAAAGTAATTACAGTTCTGGGGATAACTAGCAGCAACCTCCAGTGCTTACAGTCATCAAGATGGAGCTACGCTTCTCAGAGTGGCATGTGGTAACAGGGAAGACAACAAGCCTATGTATAAACAAGCAGTTAGAGGGAACAAGTTGCCCAGAGAGGCTGTGCAAAATCTATCTTCGGATGTTTTCAAGACTCAATTCTTACCAACCTTGCATGATTGTAGAGCTGAATCTGCTTGTGTTGGAGGTTGGACTAGAGAGCTTCTTTTAACCTAAATTGTACTAGACTATGATGATACATGATTCCATGTTGCTTCTGTCCAGTGCCAAGAGAACGCAGCCTTGTGGAGACACCCAGCACAGCCATATTCTCACTGCAGGCATTACTATAGATATGACTACCAGTCTACAATAGGTAGAAGTTTCCTACTAGATGTGTCTCCAGAGCAGAGCTCTGGTCTGTTCATTTTACATATACCTATCAAATCCACCAAGTTCAGTTTTTAGCTGGAGTACTCTTAAGCATCTTCCAATAATTTTCCTACTGGTTACCTCAGAATTATCCCACACTGGAGAATTTCTGTGCGGAAGTGCTTGGAATAATAGGACAGAAGTGCCACAAAAATGTAACTGCACAGATATGCCCTTGTATAGATTTCAAAATAATTGCAATGCTCAATATTTACATAATACATTTTGTGAATGCTTAACACACTATTCGCAATCTGCGTTTAATAACTGTAGGGATATCAAACTGTGAAATGCTCAGGTGGCATCTCATTGTTTTACATTTCAATATTAGTTTTGATTTTGCAGCATCTCTTTTATTACATCTTAAATTTTAATGAATTTTATTTGCATGTTCTTTGGAATCTGAAAGCATTTTACTCAGACTTATCAGAACACAGATACAAAAAAGAAACAACCATTCCAGCAGCTGCTGGCAATTCTGTAAGACTAACACACTATAGCAGATTTTACAGAGAAATGATGGAAAAAACAAAGATTGAGGAAGCATGCACTGGTGAGAAAAAAAAAAAACAAAACAACCAACAATAAAATGTTGAAGTATATAATAAACAAGGAATCAACGAAGCAGCCACAGACCATACAGGTGATAATAGCAATATTGCATTGATCAAAGCAGTAAGACTGATGAAAGAAAACAATGAATTCTTTCTTTTCACAAAGGTACATGAAGTAAACGGCATGAACTGACAGATACTACCCAAGGCAGAAGAGAGAAATTATAGAAAGTATTCAGGAAAATCAGAAAAACCTCAAGCTATAAAGAAATTAAGGTGTCTTGTTGGAGAGAATCAGAAAACATAGCTCTTCATCTCCATGAAAATGTAAGGGTTAAATTATACAAAGAACAAATTGCTATTTGGAATTTCTTAAGCAACAATGAAAAGCTCGGTCTGGAAGTATATGGGTAGTAGAGAGCAATATTATGATTTTTTTGTTCCCTCATTTCACACAGAAATGATAAAAGGAGATAATTGTAAGTAGTGAACTGGTCACCAAAAGAAAAGTGGCATGAAGATGTGACATCAAACATAGTGACAATGACTTCTGGTCATTTTCAGAGGTCAGATGCAGGAGAAAGAATGAAGTTCTATGTAGTGATGTATAACTTTTTTCTAATGTGATGTATTACTATTTTTCTACTGAAATTCCAGCTAATTAAGCGATGCTGAGAGAATGAAGAGGTTTTTGTGTCTGTGTTGTGTAGATGTTGTGTAGATATTATTTATTTCTTTAGGTAAGTGGGAAGAAAATTATAATAAGGTAACACAAATTTGCAAATAACATAAAAATTGAGAAAAAAATTCTCATTGCAGAAAAAAAAAAGCAACAGCTGAAGGCAAGTAGATTTTCTACAAAGTGGAAAATAACAAAATACGATGTAACTTTGTCAAATACAAATACACATTTCTATAGAAAAACAAGCCAAAACGTCACTAAAGTGCAGGGACTTGAAATTCAGTGTGCTGAGAACTTGCAAAGAAGAAATATAAAATAAATGTTAAATTCTAGTTTCATTTTGCTTTGAGTTTGATAACAGCATTTGATCTTTTAGTTGTTTTATCTGCCAGTGTGGGTTAATTAAAAAAGGTTAAAGTCACCAATCCAGCCACTGAGTAAGTGCCTTTTATGTTCTATTTAATACACAGATAATGAATGGTCATCTTCACATTTGACTGGAACACAGTGTCCCTAGCCAATAAAAAAAATGCAGTTTTCTTATAGAAAAGAACATAGACATAGTTTTATGGGCAGAAAAAGGGTCACAGCAATTTTTCACTGCTTAGACATTGTGTCATAAAACGGAGCTACTGCAGTGTACTTTTTTTTTCATCGCAATGATTTAAAACCTATTTCTGTACCTGCTGAAATATTTGCAGATGCGTTGACATGAATACAACCTGACATAGATCAACTTCTGCTGATTCACCAGTGTTTCTCCCTTAAAGAGTATTAAACAAACTCTGAGAGTGCGAAATACCAAGAGAGAACAGTGTAAGTACTTCAAATATTAGGAACAATTTCCGCAAGCGAGATCCATCAGAGAAAGAAGAACACTTCAAGAAAAGCGTATCTTTTATAACACCTACATGGAGCATCTATATGAAGCATTCATACAGACACTGAAGTACAGGTAGCAGTCATCTGATGGTGGGTACAAAAGAGAGTTTTGTTGCATCTTTCTACTTTCTTACAATGATCAGTAGAATGAGTTGTGTTGTAATGAAGCCCTTACTGTAGAAGCTCTGTGGTGAATTTTGACTAGCTGCTGATGTGTATGATGCATTTATTCTCCTCTTAGTTAAATGACACAGTAATAAAATCTATTGCCTTTTCTTCACAAAATGTTGGTTTTCCAGTATAATGTTGTGGGTTTTTTTAACTGTTGTCTCAGAAATACATATAAAGAATGGGAAAAAATGAAGATAACAGAAATACAATTAGAGAAGCTGTAATGGTTACCTCCAGTACCACGTATAGTAAATAAAAGAACCTGTATGAAACAACTTTCATCCATATAAAATGCAATTTAAATTTGTCACACTTACCATAAGAAGTCTATCTCCAACCTGTAACCTCCCATCTTTTTGTGCAGCTCCTCCTTCAATAATCTTGGTGACATAAATGCTATTGTCCCCAGGAATGTGTTGGTTTCCCACTCCTCCTGCAATACTGAAACCCAGACCTAGAGAAGAAAGGGGAAAATATGCATTAGCAATGCAAGAAATAACACTAAAGAGAGAGTTCTAGGGTAGCACATTTAATCTACTGTACATTTGCAATATTTTTTTTACAGAAACACAAATAAAACAACGGTTATTTGATGGATCAGTACATCTTCACTTTTTCCTGGAAGGTAAGGGATGCAAATGAATTACTGAAATTATTTTTAATGTACAATTATAGGATGGCAGATATGAAAAGAATCAAACTAATAATGATTCTATCCCAATATCTTGTGCTCAGTAGGGGCCAGTAAAACCTCAAGCTTGGATGTTATTTTGATAAATGTAAGTAAAAAAGACATTGCAACTTATCACAACAAAATGAAAGGTATTCTTGTCCACAGAATCTGAAAAATACTGAGAAGCTTACTGTAGATATGATAAGTTTCTATAGTGCCACACCGAAAATGAAAATGAAAGATAAATGGTGCACATATTTGAATTTAATTATGCTTTGCATGTTTTTCTAGGACACAAATATCTTTGGTTGTGGATATATAAAAAAGTGAGAGTCATTTGTGCACATATAATTTTCTCTCTGTGATCTGTGAAATTCCCAGTAATGGAGACTCTAACAGCCAAAATTTGGAGGAATGTCTACAAGCTGGTATGAATCAGAAAAAGTACGTAGAACATCAGTAGATGTAAGAGCTTTTCATGCTTTTTCCATCTTCTGACACACTACATAAAAGACTAATCACTGCTCTCACTTATAATAACATTTTTATCTCTCAATCAGAGAAAAGGCAGAAATCACTGTATATTATTTCCATAAAAAGTCTACTCCATCAGATTATTTTTTATAGACCATAGATCTAATGGGAACTTCTACCTGAACAAATAAGCTGTTACTGACAATAACCTGCTTAGATTATTGCTTCAACCAGGCATCTCACTTTTAGCTGCACAGAAAAATAGTAGCTAAATAGAGAATAATTACTAATTTTATCTATGAAATACATGGTGCTTAGTCAATCTTACAGCAAACATAGTAGTAATAGCTTCAGCCTGAGCAGAGAAAATACAACAGGAAAAAATGAACTGCATGGAATTTGGCATTTTATCACAAATCCAGCAGCTGACTGCTTGTGCCCTAAATTTAAGTGAGGGTTTATTTAATACACACGGATTTCTTTAGCAGCTGTATGGATACAGAGATAAGACTTTTGGAGTCAATTAAATCTTTTTGATACATTATGTTTTTTTTCTCATATTATTTTTTTCATCGCCATTTTTAGTTTAAAAGAGATGTGAGGTCAGATAACATAATGGACTCTTAATGGATACCATCAAAACAGTAAATTACAAAAAGAAACCACTGAAATTATATCTCAAATTGAAATACCGCTTCCTTAATTAAGATGGCTATTAACAATACACATAAAGTTAATTCAGAAATATGAGATAATTAAAATAAAGCTTTATTTAATTTCCAGCTAATGCTGGTGATGACTGTTACTATTTGTTTCTACTTCTGGGACAGCTACAAGGATGAGAAGACTGTGGTTTCTACTACATGGATGAATTTGCTCATTACCCTGTTGAGTGCTTTTGAAGAAACAAAAAGACATTCTAAGAAAACACCAAGAATTAAAATTCCCTTTAAAACTTTAGTTGTGGACTAGGAACGGTGATCAAATAGTGTTCCTTGGTGACATAATTATCATCATTTTGAAAAAAAAAAAAAAAAACAAAATGCACGTTTCCAGTAAAATGAAGCTCTGAGAGAGGAGATGAATGGGCTAGACTGCAGCTGCAGAACTTCCTTCAGCTCCACTGCTCACCTAAGGCACAGCTGTGGGAAGATTAGCTTCAATCTTCTCCTTTATTATAACTGTAAAGGGCAAGATCATTTCTGGCTATATAGCTATGATGTATTTTATGCAGATGGTTTCCTAACTCAGCCTGGTCCTGTTGTAGTGTAATAGAAGTAAAGACCAAAGCTTCCATTTTCTGCAGCGCTGAAAGGAAAGGCAGTGTTTGCTGTTTGCAGGGTCATATCACAGTTGACATATGAAACTGCAAAAAAATAAAAATAAATTGTAACATGCTATGCCATTATAAAAGTGAAGTTTACAATGATGAAAGCCATACTCTACTTCTCTCATGGACATAAAATATAATTGTGTTACAATGCATGGGGCTATATATTGTTTGTAAGCTGGGTCTGCCTTTGGGATCCACGTAACTGGCTGAGAGTATGAAGAAGCATAAAAGAGTAGAACAAGGCATGAGGAATTACTGTAGGGAGAAAAGTGAGGGTGGGCTGGACAGAACTGAAGAAGAGAGTTTCTGTGGCTTTCCCACCTAATAACAATCTAGGTCCATCATATGTGCATGCTTTAAAAGACTGTTTCTTAGGAAGAGTGGGGAATGGAATCTTGGCAACACTTAGTTTTACTGGAATTATTTTTGTCAATTGCTAGGACATTAGGAAAGTATACTGCAATAAAATTTTGGGGTACGTTTCCAAATGATCTGTCCAAATGATATCAATCAACTATGCTCATCATTTATGCCAATCACCTGTGCTACCTTTCTAAACAATTGGAATTCATTAAAGGCTTTTAGAGCATGATTCATCCGATCTCTTCAGAGAACTGACAGAGACAAGATGAATCACAGTCAAGTTCTGAAAGGCTGGCGACTGGGTGTGGGAAGAGATAGGTGGGAAGATCAATACCATACAGGTTCATCTCCAATTACATGAAAGGTTTCTGTTTAGTTTTAAGACCTACAAAAGGTTTGTGGATCTCTCTTCTCATTGGCTACATCAGATTAATATATGAGATTTTTACTCTATTTATTACCCTATTTTAAAGACAGATAATCACTGGAACTTAGGGAAACACAGGGATCAAGATCCGTTCTCCAATCTCAGTTCTTTTTGCTGCTGAGTAGAAAAAATCAAAACAAAATTGCATGCTTAATTGTAGATCCTTTTTCCTATTAACCCCTGCTGTCAGGAAGACTTTGCCATCAGAATAGACATCACGAGTCTCTTTGAGAATAGCCCTTTATCTCACTTCCTACTTTCTTTGTGCACAATCTCCTTTGCAACAACACCTAAATTTGGACGGAAGACCCAATTTCCTCATAATAGCGATTAGATGGAGAAAAATAAGAGATTTCTTCAGGAGGAGAAAGATGATTGGGTTTAATAATGGTACATCCATGCCATGCTTCATTTCAGTTAAAGCCACTGTAGGCACATATATGATGCGTAAAACAGACAATATGAATCAAACTCTATTTCTTTCCACTTCTAGTGAGTAGGTATTTGTAAAATTCATCTGCCTTTGGGATCCACAAATGTAGGAGTTGGCTGTGAAGTTATTAAATTACTTAGGAGTGGAATGAGGCATTGCTGTTATCATGAGGATAGAGGCAAAGGAAAGAGCTATTCTGTCAAAATTGCAGGAAAAAGTGCTGATGTTAACAATGATTATATACATTTATGCATTCCTTTTTTTTTCCCCTCAATTATTAGCAAAAAATAAATAAATTAAAAAAAAAAATGGTCATCATAAAAAAAAAACAACATTTGTAGCCAAAACAATTTAAAGACCTCCTTTAATTGTAGCTATTTCACAAAAACGTAATTAATAACTATTTACATCTGTTTTGTATTATTTGCTCTATCACTAAATGCATCAATAAATCAGTAAGAACATATAGAGAACATATAGAATAATTGAATCACAAAATGGTTGGGGCTGGAAGGCAATTTAAGATCACCTAGTTTCAACCCCCTGCCATAGGAAGGGACACCTCACTAGACCAGGTTGCTCACTACTCCATCCAATCTGGCCTTTAATGCTTCCAGGAAGGGGGCATCCACAGCCTCGCTGGGCAGCTTGTTCCAGTGTCTGACCACCCTCACAGTAAAGAATTTCTTCCTAATGTCTAGCCTAAATCTATGTTTTAACTACTTTTCTTGCAAAAAGTAGGTATGGAGATTTCTCCTACAGTTAGTTCAGGGATGGATATACAGTAATGAAATCTTTATACGATAATAAAACCACTCTGTAAGACACAAGGACATATCACTTTCCAGTCATCAGAAAGGGAGCTTAAAAGACAAAGTGTAGCTATATAAAATGAGAGAAAGATGTGAAGTTAAATGAAAGCCTCATTAGTAACCCAAATGCAGTGTTGTGATCGCTCACATTGCATGCAGACTGTCAAGCAGGTTTTTTGTTTTGTTTTGTTTTAAATCTGGAAAGTAGAAAGAGGGTTTTGGAGAATAAATTCAACATGAGTCCCCCAGTTCTAGCTGAGAAGCTCCAAATAATAGAGCAGCCATAGGAAGTCGAATTTAAGTCATAAACTTAAAATGTAACTGAGAACCACATCAAAACAGTGTACTCTAGAAGTATAAAATGGGTAATTCCTAATTGTTTGATTCCTGATTTTATTCCAGCATCTCTTACCACCAACCGACAAATCTCCTCAATAGTGTGCACCCTTGTGAAGTCACACAATGCACAAGACTTGTAACAGAAATAATAGGTTAGAATTTAATAGAATGTTCATGGAAGCACAAGAAGAAATAAGAGCATTCCTAGCAATAAAACTGAAAATGAGTTGTTTTTTGTCAAGCCTAGAAGGTTTCGCTGCTAAGCAAGCAGCACAGTTGTACTGCAGGCAGAAGACCCTGTGCTGTAACAGCAGGATGTTGCAAACATGGTTACAGCATGTGGCTGTATCCTTGGGAAAGCTGGTAATACCACTGAAGACATGTATTTGCTAAATGAATTAGAATACGCAGTGAGCAGTTATTTTCCTATGTCCTAGGGAGCCCAAATAAAACAGTACTGTGGACACTCCATAACACTGGTAGACTCCTAGACAGTACAAAACATCTGCCCAAAAATTACATCATGGTCATCAATCAAGAAAATGCTAAGAGGTGGTGTAAGGGTTCTGCATTCCATGTCCTCTGTCACACCAGGGCGAG